ACTATTATATTCTGTTTTGTTTTTCAATAATGGGTATATAGCGACAAAATACAGATTTCATTGAAGGGCATAAAATATCAATCATATATAACAAATAAAAATCAAGGAACAAAAAAATAAATCAGAATAAAAGATAGCATTGAGTTAGCTAAGATTTTTTTTTGTCATTGGCCGTTGCCTAGCTAAAGTATTTTGAGAAGTTAACATCAATTGGCAATACTCTCAACTAAGAGACTAGAGTGAATGTTCTTCATAAAAGCTGTTTCTTCAGAGATTAGAAAATTTTTTTTTTTTTGTGTAGATAACTGAAAAGAAAATTATAAAATTCTTATATTTTTGAGTAAAGAAAGTCTACTGAAGCAAATGAAGCAAAACTTATTGTACTATCTTCAAATATTGAATGAGTAATTATCAGTAGTTAGACTTGTTCGTATTAGAAGCACGGTTCCTAACTTGAACAACAAGCGAAAAAATGTTCTCAATAAGAAAAATATATGTAAGATACATAGAGAGTTAAATATTATTAGTAGATGAATGCTTTTACTATCTAAACTTAAAAATTCCTTTCTGCTCTTTCATCATAAAAAATGTTCCTTGATGAATGGTACATTAGCTTTCAGCAATTTGAGGCAAATAGATTGTTGTGCAATTGTGCTTTCTTTATTACAAAAATAGTTGTAGAAAAATTTGAATAAAGTATCGCGAGCAATTCTATTTCATGATAATTGCAAGTAAGAATAATATAGGTTAAAGATATTTAGTATGTCATGTGTTCATCGTACAAAATTGCAGTAGAATTTTTTTTTCTTTAAGATTAGATAGAGCAAAACAAATTTCATAAGAAAAAACAAAATCATGCATATTAAAAACCAATTTTACAAACATTAGAATTTTGTGTCTATTACCCGTATATTTATCAATAATACTTTCTTGGACTTTGTAAAATTGATTTTTAAATATGCATGATAATGTTTTCTCTTATGAAGCTCGTCTTATTCTATCCAACCTTGAAGAAAAAAAGAAAAACAAATCCTATTGCAATTTTATACGATGAGTACATGACACACTAAATATCTTAGTCTGTGTACGTTATATGCAGCTCATATATTGAATTAGTTAGGTTGATAGTGAAATCATTAATTTGATCTGAATATAATCAATCTCTTTACTTTATAATACATGAACTTCTATTGTTAGGTAAATTTCGTTTGAAATCAGGTGAAAAACTAACAAAAGAGTTTATTTGACTTAAAAATAACTTCTCATTTCTATTAACAGAACAAGATACATTTATATTTCTTTCAAATAGACAAAGTACTTATTATCACTAATTCATATTCTCATACATGCACGAATAATTTCCGCGCCGACATTAAGAAATGATAATCGAAAATATTTTAATGAGAAAGCAATTCATTATATATTAATTTGTTGTACATCCAATTCAATCAATAAAATTTAACAACATAGTACATTCAATATTTTACATATTATCTGTGAGTCAGATCAAGTTGAAAGACAAATAAACATCGACTATTCAAATAAAAATAAGTCTAAAGATTCTTGTTTTGTATTATCAATACTTAATTCTTATCTTGTTCGATCGTATTTTTTTTTGTGTCTAAATCTTTTGCAAACTTTAATTTTGTCGAAATCTCATCTTTACCTAACACATATACTACTTTTAAATAGCAGTAATAAGTATTTAATACAAAACTTTCTGAGTATTTATATTCATGATGAGTATAACATAGAATTTCTCGCTATATATCCATTATCACAAAAATAACAAATTATAATAGTCTAAATAAAATTTTAGATGAATAATAGTTTTTAAATAATTCAAACGAATTATATATTGTTTGAAAATTCGTTCGATATATTTTCAAGTAAAAATCTATGCTTGTAAAAACTAGATTAGAAATAGTTTTGTTAATGATAAATTTCGAGTCATCTAACACTGTCAAAGGAAAAATGTAAGCCGAATATGGCATATAAACGTCAAATATAGACTGTACTAGACATACTTTGCATCGTTTTTGAAACAATCAATGTAGTAAACCAACAAAATTCAGCATGTCTGTGACAAGGTGTAACTATTGTGTGTTTGAATAAATTGTCAATAGCCTATTTCATTTTTCAAACTATAACCTGTTGAATTATGAATTAAAATCCTTCAATGAAGTCATACAAGATGAAATTTATCTATCAACTCATGAAAAACATTCGTAAGATTGAGTTGAACTTGTTGAATTTTTATGCGAATTTTAGAAAAAAAATAAACAATTAGGAGAATTCATTTTTCTATATTTGAATAAAATATCTTTTCATTTAAAATGATTTATTGATAAATATAAAGTGAAACTCTATGTATACAATGATAATGAAAAATAAATAAATTTGAAAAGAAACTTTCTGCAGTATTTTTTTTGTTTTTCAAAATTTCGAAAAGGATGGATTTGTGCATTTCAATGGATGGCAAATTTTTCGAAGATTAGTTCTAAGCTGAATTATATAACATAAAACTCAAACAAAATATATTATCAATCATTTAAACTGCATAAAAATTATTCACATAAATTTTCTCGGTAGACTTTCTGAACGACTTATATTTAATTACTCTATATGTTTTTTGTGATATATTTCGTAGTTATTGCACAGTACTAGATTACTTTTAGCATAGTAAATAGTTTGAAAAACTCAGTAACTAATCTAAAAAAAACAGAATTAATATTTACAAGTTTTAGTGTAGACATCGGTATCAATCTTCTATCCAGCAGCACCCACATTCTACACCCTCAAATCTTTTATTTACTGAGTAACCATAATAATTACCAAGCATTGAATTTTATACTGACAGCTTGATTTATTTACTGATAATTTGTATATAATATTGTGCAAACTATGTTGAGCCCTTACAAAAAAAACAGATACGAAGAACTTAATTATTGTTATTTTTGGAACATCCTGTAGATAAACATCTAACATGAAAAGGCTTTTGTCTTAGTTCATTAATGCTAATATTAAAACTATAATCCAATTATGTCTTGAAAATAAATATCCACTTATTTTTCAAAATATATTTAATTGTATTAATGTATCATTCTAGTTTGAGTTTTTCATTTATTTTATGTCTATAAAGATCTGAATAAGAGATAAAGGAAAATGTAAAGCATAAGTAATACTCATAATAACAGGCAAGGACATTTACATTTGACAATCAATTTTCATAACAGCACGAACATAAAATTTATTATCCTATTGTGTTTGATCTAAACAAATTCTTCTGTCAATCATTGTAAGTCTTACAAGACTAAATGCAAGTTTGCTTCAAGCATTTGTTGCTAAAAATCGAATGAATTTGTCAAAATAATCTCGAATAATAAGACGATTCATCAACATTTGATTTCTAAAATTGTATGAACCAGACTTGACTTATATCATATAAGTTTTCATTACCAAGCGAATCAGAAAATGCAACCATTAGAATTTTATCTTCGGGATAAATTTACTGTAAATCTTAATATCTGTTAAATAACTTGATAAAAATTAATGAAGCATTGATGCAGATGATGTATGGTGAAATAATTAAAGCCATCGACATAGTAGAAGACTCCAGGTCATTTATTCTGTCCTTAGAAAGGTCATATTTTCTGCTATCCTCAACGATATACTGTTTACAAAAATCTTTTTATGTTGTCTATGTTATTACTAAATGTTTATTTCATTTTCCTACGCTGTTACGGTTAATAAAAACAGTCTATATTCTATTACTAAAGGATATTTCACAAAATGAGTATCTTGATTATAAAATGTGCTAAATCACACTTCATACTAGGATTGTTTTTCACAAGATAATAGAACTCACTCATGAAATGCTATTATATGATATGATCAAATAGATGAAAAATTAAGTTTTTATTTTTTTGGACATGACCTTCAAGATTAACTGTTTCTATTGAGTTTTCTTTATTGAACTAGATTCTTGATCATTCAGGTCAACGATTACAGACTTCGTATACGATCGTTTACCGTAGTATTTTACCGTAATACATGACTCAGTATTACAATCGTATATCGTCGTGACCGTATACGCTGGAATACGATCATTTACGGAGAAATATGGAATAAAATGATTATCGTATACGAAAATCGTAAACGACCGTATTTTTCTCCGTATACGATCGTTGACGACCGTGCTTGTTCGACCTGGGCAATGTAATCACGATCGATATTGAATGGTAACAGATAGGAATTTGTGATTAAATCATTACGCATAAAAGAAATGTTTTTATATGTATTCAGTTATAAAAACAATCATATAATTGACTGTTTGTGAAAATTAAAGAATGTAAATAAGAAAAAAATTGAACTTAATCATAAACGGCATTGTTTTTTTTTTACAAACGACGTCTGTTAATTACATTTTATATTATTCAACTACACATCGCCTTAAATATCAGAAAAATATTTTTACAGCAAACCTTAGAAATCATATATATCTTAAAGCCTAAAAAAATCAACGTATCAACATAAAAAAAAATCTTTTAATATTAATTTTTATTTTTCTACTATATTCTCATATTTAAATTAAATAAAATCATATTTCTTATATAAAAATGTAAGTTATCAACATTGAATGAAATAATAATTTACAAAAAAAAAAAGAAAACAAATACATTTCTGATTATATTGATCATAAAATAAAAAATATTTATTAAATTAATATTTTAAAAGCATTTATACAATATGCAGATTGATTACAATTTAATTTATAGTGCAATCTATCTCGAGATTCTATTAAAAAAATGTTTTTGTTTTTTTGGATTAAGTCCTGATTAAAGAAAAATATTAAACAGCATCATATTGTAAATATGTTTCTTTTAGCCATATGAAAATCTATAAATGAAACGAAGAACAAAGAAAGAAACAAAAATAAAAGCGAATATAAATTTAAAAAAAAAAAAAAAACAAATTTGTTTTTCAATTTTTTTCTTTTGCTAAAAATCACTTGCTCCAATATCCGTTGAATTTAAAGTATTCGATAATGTATTACTTCGTGTTTCTATAAAAATAAAAATTTTATTATTTTTTTTTTTTTGGTTTTTGCGAATAAGAGTACTTTTTATTTTGTAAAAAAAAAAAAAAAAATACCTGTTTGATTTGAAGTTGAATGTTGTTCACCAGTCAATTCTTGTAAATATTTAAATGAACGTGATGGATGTTCATTTAATCTATTTGTTTGTGCTAAAACATGATGATCATCATATTTATGTAATGTTTGATGAGATTTTGTAGAATTATTAATAGATTTTAAATTATTTTGTTCATTATCTTCATCTTGTGTCATCATTTGAAGAAAACGAAATGCACGTGATGGAACAGTTGAACCTTTATAATGTGGTGCTTCAGGTTCATGTTCACGAACACTTGGTGGTGCTACAAAAAAAAAAATAAAGATTCGAAAAATTTTATGAAATTATATTTATTATACTTTTATTATAAATTTCCACAAGATCATCTCGATTATTAATTGTTCGAGATTGATTTCGTCCTAGATCTTGAGATATATCATATTGTTCTTGTAAAAATTTAAATGCACGAGATGGATTATGAGCATCACTACCTCGACGAAGACCAGTACCATTTTTTAATGCTGCAGTTTCTTCAATAGGTTTTTTAGGTGTTGTTACAATATCATCATTATCAACACTATATTGTTCTTGAAGATAACGAAATGTTCGTGATGGAAGTGATGCTACACCAGAACTTGAACGACGACGATCTGTTTTATTTTGTTGATCATGAATAGCTTCAATATAATGATGAAAAAAAAAAACAAAAGAAAGAATATTGATTTAATACGTTGTCCTTCAAATAAGATTCAAGTATCCATGTAAAACCTTCAATTTACCCTTAACATGAAGGACTATCATCTAGTGACATTATTCTGAGAACTTCCAACATAGAGAATATGTTCTTTTGATCCTGATAGATTCAACTCGACAATGAATTACAGATAAAAAACAAAATTCGGAATTTCCGATAGTCATATGAAGAAGAAAAAAAAAACCTAACCTTCAAACATTTTTTTTAAAGTGCAATTGTATTATTCTATTTCGAAAGTGTAAAGAAATTATTTATTCAATATTTTGATTACATTTAGATTTTGTTCTTACTATCAAATAAGACTAAAGAAATTTTAATATACAGGCAATAAAAATTTTCATCTATTGTATCTTTATAAATATTATGATGTATATATATATATTTTTTTTTTATAGTCATTTGATATTTTCATTCGATTGACCTTCTACATTTTCTCTCCATTCGATAAGAATTGGACATAATCCAACATAATAATTATCAAAGATAATAAAAGAAACATCTTACAAAGGTCATTTATATTCACCTGTTGATCTATTTGTTGTAGATTGTGATAGTGGTGATGGTACACTAGTTGGTACAGTTTTTTCACTATCCGAAATCCATCCTTGAAGCATTTGAAATGAACGAGATTGTGTTATTCTATTTAGCAAAAAAAAAGATAGCAAAGAATTGTTCTTTTTTTGTTGTTGCTCTATTTAAAATTAACATACACATCAGTATCATGTTGTTGTATATGTTTTTTAGGTGATGTTGGTGGTTGATGAGAATAAGTAAATGGTTGAATTGGATTAACATTTGTATAATGATGTTGATTGAATTGTTCAGATGGTACAATCATTCGTCGATTCATATTTGGATTTATTGGTGATCTTTCTTCACTAGTTGATCTATAGTCACCAGAACTGAAAAATTGAATAAATAAAATATGTCATAGTTGTTCTAAAATATCGAAAAAAAAAAGTTTTTCTTTTTCTTGTATTTATTAGTTTCGTTTATTTGATATAACATTCTTAACATACCGAAAACGTTTAATTCAAAACAAACAAAAAGAATCTTTTATTCAATGCAGTGTTAAACTTACCATTTTGATTTTTATACAACAGTAAAAAAAACAAAACTAAATTGAGATTGAAGCAATAAAAGTGAACGATTATTTATTGTTTTCTATTTTGTAAATGTATGTTTTGTTGAATGATTATATTTTTTTTTTGTTAAGTATTGATTCACATAAACACTACGTTTTTCTCGCTTTTTTTTTTCTTTTGTGCACAAGATAAAACACATCGACTTTCAACGGTGTAATAAAAAAAAAAAAAAAGAGAGAATTGGATGTCGATACAAATCGTGGCATATATGCGAAAAAACACACGAATGTATGAAAATGAAAGGAAGTTAACGAGACCAAAAAAAAAAGGAAAATTGTGTGTAATTAAGTTTACGATATGTCTCATAATAGAGTGCGTTGGTCCAAAAAAAAATCTTATTGAAGAATCGGTTTATTTTAATACTCAAATGTTTTTCTTTCTTTTCTTTCGTTTTTTTTTTATTGATTACAAAAGAAGTCACACCTTTAAGGGTGAGCAAAAAAATAGAGTACAGTCAACCTGTCTTTGTCCTATGAGTAGACTGATGATGTCAAAATAAATACTACTCATTATCCTTGAATATAATCTTACCGTCTAGCACGAGTTGTTTCACGTATTTTAGATAAATCAAGACCTCCTGGTATGTATGTAAATGGTTTTGGACCACTAGGGCGACTAAGATATTTAGCAAGAATAGGAGAAAGAATTGAAGGATCCTAAAAATAAATAAATATAATAAATAAATGAAAACACTAATAATTTCATTCATAATTTACTGTTGTTTCTTGATATGATGGATAATTGTCAGTCAATGATTGATACTTTATTAAGTGAGGCTTTTTTTTTGCCATTACATTAGCATTAAATGTTGGTGGTTGTGGAATATTCATCATAGGCATTGAAGGTATATTATTCCAAGGTGTTGATGATAAATCATAGTTATGTAATGATTGTTGTTGTTGTTCAGTAAATCCTGAAGTTTGAGTTGTATCAGATGGATATGAATGTCCAATTCTGAAATTATTTATTAAAATTAATAATAATAGAATATCTTATATAAATATTTACTTTTGTATAGTAAGAAAAAGAGCATTACCACAACGTTGAATAAGTTCAAGCGCATCTTTATGTGTCATTTGTGTCACATTATTTCCAGCAATTTCTATTAGCATATCACCCGAATCAATCTTACCATCAGCAGGAGAATTTGGTACAATCTAACAATAAATATTAATATGATATATATGTTTGTTTTTAATCATATGAATATATATATTTCTCGACAAAAACATACAAAACCATAATAATATTTCCTATGTAGTTTATATAAGCATGAATTCATTCTGATAAATTAAAAAACTAAAATCAAATTCAAATTCACTTGTTCTATTCTTGAACAAAAAAAAATTACTCAAACATCCTTGTCTTAGTAATCTATATATATATATATAATATTTGCCTTTCTGTCTTTATTGATTAATGAAAGTATATTTTGTGTATACATATACATATACATACGTCGAAATAATATATAATTCTAAAAATAGAAATATACTTACATTAGTAATTGTTAATGGTTCATTATATTCAAAACCACCTTGAAGTCGAAAACCCCAAGGAAGATTACCATCAGATCGACTAATAAAAATTTTACTCATTGAATCTTCTTTAATTTAGGTCAAGAATATTGTATATGGTATATATGTGTATATATGTATCTTTCTACAAGTAGACCAAATGCGACAATGATATCTCGTTTCTTCTTTTTGTTTTTGTTACTACTCTCTTTCTCGTTTTTTGCCGGACGCACCATACTAATATCAGTAATACCAGAAAAAAAAAATATATATGTATAGAAGATAAATAGAAGGGTGAAAAAGAAAAAAACCAGAAGCAAAACATCTATTTTCTGTTCTTAGATAAAAGCGACGATATTTGTATGTATTTGTGAGAAGAAGAATATAACAGATAAGTTTTTCTTCATCTTCGTAGATTTAGAATAAGCTGAAAGACAAGAAGAGAAAGATAAGTTTATCATAGTTAACTATTGTTTTTAGTAAATATTGATGTATAAATAACATACTACTGTCGTAATACAAGAAGAAAATAATATACACTTGATCAATAGAATTTGTATAAGTGTAAACTTTTAATTATATATAAATAATTATTGAGTGTTTTGTTTTTTTTTTTTTGTATGGAAATTTCTATTTATTATTTTTTTTTTTAATCATTTTTTATTTGTTTTTCTTGCTGTGAAGAGAAATATTTATAATAGTTTAAGTACAATTATTATGTTTGTATATAAGATTTGAAATAATCAAAAATCAATATCTTCTATAGTAAAATTTATTGTTTGTAATACAATCTATATTTTATTATTTAGTAGTTATGATTTTTGTATGAATGTATATATGAAATTTCGTAAGAATTAAACATATATCAGTAAATTTTGTTAATAATTTAATGATAAAATCTTATGTCCAGAAAATTTAATTCGATACTTTCAGATATAAAACATACGAGATTGATTTTAATATAAAAATAATATAGAAATGATTTGTTTACTTATAGATTATGTTTGGTTGACAAAAACTCATTTGCATTATATATGCTTTCTTTAGTAGAAACTAATTTTGTTTTTGACCTAAGCTAACCTCAAAAAAACATAGATATATTATTTCTATTTTCTTTTTATAATAAAATAAAGCTTTTGATCTAATCGGTTACTAAACTAAAGATATTATTCTTTGAATAGAATGTGTAAAAATAAATTTTAACTACATACCATTGATATTTTAATTAGACTCTTGCAATAGTAGTGCTTTCACCTATAACATCCATTATATAAAGATGTGCAGAAATTAGGAAGTCTCTATGGTATCTTTTAATCGATGAATTATTTTCACATTCATCATTGTCAAAACTATTTCTTTTAAAAAAATGTTCTATCATTAAGAAACTTGAAGTAAACAATTCCGACCTTCTATTAAAACATATTTTGCTTCAATACATATAAAATGTAATGTTTATCATCAATATTTATTCTCTTAATTATCCAGTTTTACATTTCCATTTTCACAAGCATATTTTTCTTCTTATTTTGCATAAATAAATATTTAAAAAAAAAGTCACATTGAATTAGAAATCATGCTATTCTTTGTTTTCTCTCTCTCACACACATACAAACACTATTTAGTTCACATTTATTCGTAGAATAACTCTTTTTCTAGATCACACATGCACACATAGAAATTCTTTAATAAAGAAAAAAAAAGAAAAAAAACATCAGGAGAAAAACATAGAAATTAAGAAAAAAAATGAGCTCGTGCAAAGGCAAACATTAGAGAGAATACAGCAACAAGAAAAAAATTTACACACAGACGTATGTTGAACGAATGGGTGCACAAAACGAAAAAAGAGAAAAAAAATAATAATTCAAAGAAACAAAAAAAGAAAAAACGAGCGACTGTCGATCGAATACAGAAAAAAGAAAACACAAAATATATTGTACGAACAACGGAACGTTGTTTTAGATATACACTAATAGAATAAACATTATTTATTAGATTCTAGATGAGTTGATAATGTACTATGAGGTAATTGTCGTGCACCAAAACTTTTCAATACTTGACATACATGATCATGTTGTTGAGATTCAGCTAAATCATATGCAGTTACATCTTGTTCTTCAAAACGAAATTGTTGATCAACATTTGCACCATGTTCACATAAGATTCGAACTGTATCAGCATGACCCATAGCTGCTGCTATGTGTAAACATGAAAGACCACTCTAAATAAATATTAATATTATATATATAGAAAAGTCGAATAAATAAAATGTAATTTTCTAATAATATTTTTTTTTTGTACTAATTTAATAATATTCATTGTCTATAAGAAGAGATAGAATCAATTTAAATTTTATTTTTTTTTTATAATCAGAATTCCATTGATATTTAAATAAGAGTAAAAATTTTTTTTTTTATCTGATTATCTTACTATCTTTGAATACAAAGTGTTTTTTCTTTTTGAGATTCATTTTTCCAAGTACAATCTACTGATTTCCAATCTAAGTAAATTGAAAATATTTGAGAATAAATCTAAAATTTTAATGATTATCACTTCAAATAATACTATTGTGACTTTCAAAATGTTATATTCAATCATATTCGATTAAATATAAATAGAATAATTGTTGAGTAGACACGTCTAGAGATAACATTGGAAAATGGTTTTTTATTTTAGCATGAATCTATTAAAAAGATTGACGTTAACAATTGTCTCATTCAGTATTCAATGTCAGGATATCAGACAAAGGTTAACAATCATGCCATCGCTTATAAGTCGCGTGTTAGCGATTACCAACTTTAGAAATTTATGTAAAAGGATATAACAATGGTGTCAAATCATTATAGTAAAGATTTAACTGTGATATCTAAAAACTTTGCAAATGGAAATCTATTTGATTTTTAAAATTAAGTAATTTCTTTATTCTTTTTTTTTTCATTTAACTATTAATTCTAATTAGTGATATTGATCATTTACTTACACTTTCTGTTCCATTAACATCAGCTCCATGATCAATTAAATATTCTACAATATCTTGAAAGCCTTTTGCACATGCACAAAATAAAGGTGTACGACCAGCTGTTTCACCCTAATTAAAACAAAAAACAAAAAAGAATTCAATAAGAAAATATAATATTTATGAATATAATTTTTCATTTAATTTCTTACTTTTCCTGCTATCTTATAATTAACATCTAAACCAGCATCAACTAATAAACGTAAAATATCAAATGAACCTGATTCAGCAGCAACAATTAAACCATTAATTTTTCCATCATATAAATTTTTTGCTTCAACATCATGTTTTGCACCATGTCGTATAAGTAAACGTGCTAATTCAACATTATTATGTTGACATATAGCAAGGAATGGTGATGAACCACGTTCAGATGTAACATTAACATTTGCACCACCAGATTCAATTAAATATCGAATAATTGATTCATGATTTCTCATACATGCTATTAATAATGGTGTTTGATTTTCAATATGAAGATCACGTGCAACTTGTCCTTTTGGTGATTGATTTACATCAGCACCATAACGTATCAATAGAATAACAACATCTAAATGACCTTCTTCAGTTGCTGTATATAATGGTGTGGCACCAGTCTAAATATTAAAAAAAAAAAGGAAATAAATTCATTGATAATAATTAATTAAATATACCATTGTTATAGCATTAACATTGGCACCATTTTCAATAAGATATTCACATATTTCTACATGACCCTTTTTAGCTGCACCAAAAAGAGGCGTCTAAAAGAAAAATATATACAGAATTCAATTAAGTAATATTATTAGAATTAATCAAGCAGTAATCCACTTGATATAAAATATATTTTTTATGCACTGAATAAACTAAAAATAATGAAGTATCGTTGCCTCAATACCATATGAATAGCTCAAAGAAAGTTTCTTGTTACATCTAATGATAGTTTAAACAGTACTCTTTATTTTTTTTTATATATTTTATCATAATTAAGTTATGACACAAACAAGTTTGAACTTATTATATAAACATTGTTATTGTTTATAAAATAATGAATTTATTCAATATTTTTCGATAATATCTTCATCGATAGTTCTATAAGGTCGTACTTAGTCGTTTTTATTCGATTTTTTTTTAATATATAGGTTATGCTAGCTAGATAGAAAAGTCAGCAAAACATTCATAACCTTTGAAGAAAATGGCATTAGCCCAGATCTTCTTAGGATGTTTGTTAGAGAAATGTTCCTAACATATGGACAAAATATCATGAAACATTTGAAAACATTTTCTCATTAGAAGTACAATTTAATTGTCAAAAATAGAATATGAATTCTTATGATAAGATTTTTTTTTTTATTCATTTAAAACAATGTTGTATTAATAATTCTTTTTCAGTCTTCTATATGTTGAGGTATAGATTCATAAATAATGATATAGTTGGATTTTATGTTTTTTTGAAAAAATAGAAATACTATTACGAAAAATTGAACAAAAAAAAATTCTAAGTTCAATATTTAATTGATTGATATTTTTAGAAGAAAAATTTTGACAAAAAAATCCTTTTTTTACCTGTCCAGCAAGGAAATTTTCTTCAGCTAATTCTCCTTGTGGTGTAATATTAACATCAGCACCAGCTTTAACAAGTGCTTGAACAAGTTCTCGATTACCTGATTCAGCACAAAGAAGTAATGGTGATACACCATAACGATTTTTTACATTAACTTGTGCTCCTTTTTCAATTAAAACTTTAACAACATCAACACGATCTTTTAATGTTGCCATAAATAATGCTGTTTGACCAGTTATATTTAAATTATCAGCATCAGAACCACTTGGTGCAAAATCAAGATCAGCACCAGCTTCAATACATGCTTCAATTATATCTAAATCACATATTTCAGATGCAAGTAAAAATGGTGTTGAACCTAATTTTGTTACTGCATTTGAATCAGCACCACGTTTAAGAAGTAATTTAACAACATCAAATTTTCGTGATTTCATTGCTGCATAAAGTGGTGTCCAACCAGTTATATTTAATTCATCAGCTAGATTACCAAATGGAGCAATATGTGTTTCAGCACCGGCATTTAATAATAATTCAACAACTTGTAACATGCCTTTTTGTGATGGAATCCATAAAGCACTTACACCATAATGATTTTGAACACGTGGATTAGCTCCACGATCTAATAAATATTTAACTATTTCTGTTCGACCTTCTTTAGCTGCACAAAATAATGGTGTTTGACCACATAAATTCATTGTTAATGCTAATGGACCTAGAAATAAATTAATTTAATTATTTATCGTTTTAATGAATATTTAAAAAAAAAAACAAATAATTAATTGTTAAAATTTTTCTAAAGTATTATTCTTACCACTTGGTGCTAATTCTAGATCAGCTCCAGCTTGTACAAGTAATTTAACACATTCAAAATAACCTTGTTCAGCTGCAAGCATTAATGCTGATATACCTGATTGATTTTGATGATTTGGATTAGCTTGATGTGCTAATAAACGTTTAACACATTCAGGATGATTATATTTAGTTGCACCAATTAATGGTGTTGAACCAGCTATTTTATTATCTTCAGCTCGTTTACCAGATGGTGCTGCATCAACAAGAGCACCACGTTGTAATAGAATATCAACTATATCTCGCCAACCAACTTCGGCAACCATTAATAATGGTGTAATGCCGGATAATGATGCTTTGTTCACTTGAACTTCGGGACATGCTATAAAAAAAACAAGAAATAATGATACAATCTAAAAACAGAACTAAAAATAAGTATACAAACTCACTGGCTAATGTTTCAGTAATAGATTTATGTTTTTTACCAGCTGCTATACTCAATGCTGTTAGACCGTCTGCTTCCCGATAACCTAAAAAAAGAAAAATTTTTATTGTCAAATAAAAATTTATTTTATTTTATTTATTTAAATAAATCAATATGCATAAATTATTCAGAAAGCATGGCAAGACTTAAATAAAAATAAGTTCTATTCGTATATATAAAAGATCTATTTCCCTTATCATATAATGATGAAATATAATTTATATCAATGTCTAAAGAATGTTTTTGATGTATAGAACCACGAAAAATATTCGATGGTAATGATATATAATGATAATCTCGTATTTCATGTGTTTGTTTAAGTATGATTGTATAATGATGATCAATTGTTATTTTAACTAATGAATATAAATAACATATATAAAAATAAAAATGATGATTATATATTGAATTAATATCAATCATAAGATTAAATGTTTTTGATAAAGATAAACTTGTATAATTCATATATGGTATTGATGTAAGATTCCATATATATTCTAATTTATATAAATGTGAATAATCATGATTAAGTACACGTTTAATATGTGATGTTATAAATTTAATTTCTTCTCGATTATATGTTATTATACCATTGTGTTCATTTTCAACATCAGATAATTGTGTATAAATCATAGCTGATAAACGTGATGAAAGATTAACAATCAATTGTTCAAATATATATGTTAATAGATAATTATCACTATAAGTATTATAACTCCAACCAGATTTCATTAAACCAAATCCACCACATTCACCTAATACTAATGCTCGAATTTCATCATCATATGATGATGGTAATAAAATTTCTTTTGTATAATCATGTATATCTCTTATATGTCCAATATTTATTCGATCTTGCCATCCACTAGCACTATTTACTAAACGATCTTTATCATATGTTTGTAACCATTTTGTTAAACGTATTGTATCATATTGTCCCCATCCTTCATTAAATAATACCCAAATAATAATTGATGGATGAAATGAAAGAAAATCAATCATGCCTTTTAATTCATATTCAAATTGAATTTTATGTTCAAATGGTTTTGTAGGTAATGGTGATGGAGCTTTAGGTATATCTTCTTTTATTCTTATAGCTAGTGGTAAATTAATCGTTCTATTATCACGATGTAATCGTAAATTTTTATCATCCTCTAATTCAATTTCATAACCATCATAAGAATCTCCTGCAGGCATATCTTGCCAAACAAGCATACCTAATACATCACACCAATAATAAAATCGTGATGTTTCACTTTTCATATGTTTTCGTATTGTATTAAAACCTAAATTTTTTATTTGTTCTATATCATATCGATATGCTTCATCAGTTGGTGCACGATAAAGACCATCAGGCCAATAACCTTGATCAAGTACTCCGAACATAAAATAAGGTTTATTATTAAGACAAATTTTTTTTGGTTTAGAACAAAGTGAAATTTCTCTAAAACCAATATAACTATCAATATGTTCAATGAATATATCCATTTGATATAAATCAATATGAATATGATATAAATATGGATTATCAGGTGACCAAAGATTAATTTGATTTAATGGAAATGAAATTTCTTGTTCAATATTTGGTTTATAAGATATAAAATTAATTAAATTTTTATTATTTTTTTCTATAATACTTATATTTAATATAAAACCAAGTTCTTCATAATTAGTTATATTTTTATTTTGTTTTACATTTAATAAAAATTTATTTTCTTCAATAAAATTTTTTGAAGAATAAATTGGTATATGTTTATTTGGTAAATGATAATTAAATGAAGTTGTTCTTGCTGTTTTTAAATCAATACGATATTTTAAAAAAACATTTGTAAATGAAAGTTTTGTTTGAAATTGTAAACGATCAATATAAATATAAGGTACTCGTTCTAACCAAACTGTTCCCCATATACCAGAACATGGTGTATAAAATATTGAATTTGATTCTTTAACATCTAATACTTGTTTTCCACGTGGTTGATACCAATAATGTGATGGATCCCAAACACGTACAATTAATTCATTATCTTCATAATTAATAAAATATGGTGATATATCATATGAAAATGGTTCATAACCACCTAAATGTTTAATACCAACAATATGACGATTTAAATAAACAACAGTTGCATAATCAACTTTATCAAAATGTAATATTATACGATATTGTTGATGATTACCATCATACCATGATGAAGATTTTATTTGAAAATTTCTTTTATACCATAGATACATTCCTGAATCAACACGTTTTTGAATACCAGATAAATAAGATTCAACAGGAAATGGTACACGAATAATTTGATCAAACTTCTTCGGATATGTTTCTTTGATTGATGTTATTGTAAATGACCAATATCCATTTAAATTTAACCATAATTTTCTTCTTAAATGTGGACGTGGATAATCATCACGAAATGGTATTTGACTCTCCATAACTTGTTTTGTCCATCGTGTTGAACTTTTTGTCATAAGCTTTATCGGTAAAGTAAATGACGAAGTAGTAAAAGTAGGAAAAATGAAATGCTCATCAGAGAAAAGATAAAATTGATAAAATAAAGTAATAGAAATTCCAAACATAATAATATTCTATGAGAATTATTTATATTACAAAAAAGAAACTCATTTAAATTGAAAAACGAAAAGAAAAACGCAAGAAAAAAAATTTTTTGTTTTACATACCCATATTGAGCACTTCTTTTTTCGTTGTTGATGCCTTACGGCGATCCAGTTCATCAAGTATATCTTTAAGTCGTTTGACATCACCCGTTTGTGCAGCTTCGAATATTTCTTGATGATACCGTTCTATATCACCTTCAGTTTTATTTGCTTTTGTACTTGTGCAACCCATACCCGTCTGAAATAAATTAAGAGGCGAAAATGAAAAAAAAAAAAAAGAAAAGGTCACGAAATCATTAAATGTATGTGCACAGAGGAACTAATATACCTGCCTAATTGCAGTGAATCTAAATAAATAGTGAAGGTTGATATTCTCTATCAATATAGTAGTATCACTAACGATTGTGATTATGATAAAGGAAAAAAAAAACAAACATAAAGATTCATGTGTAACTTAAAAAGAGAATAAGAAAAATTTGATCATTCGAGCGGAAAATAAGAAAAAATATACTAGAAAGAATTAAAAATATATATATATATTATGTGTGTGTGTGTGTGTGTTATATTCTAAATGATTGTATTTCTATATAATATTTATAGACAAACCATTACATTTACACTTATAATGTATAAAACATTAAAACAAAAAATGATTTCACATTTATATACGTTTATGATTAGTTTTATGATATGTATACACATTATGGACGAAGAATATGAGATATACAAATCTAACAGAAATAAACAGTAACAACTTTTATACTATTAGAGAAAAAAAAAAAAAAGAAAGAAACACACATAGAGAGATATATAGAAGTGAAAACAACGCTATGAGTCAGACAATATCTATTTCCATATGAATTAAAATTAATTTTACAAGATTATATATGAAACGATTAAAAAAAAAAAACACAAGTTGAAGAAAAGAATATTTGAAGTTTTTTCTTTTTTTTTGACATTTGTCAATCTATAGATGTCACTTCAAAGATACTATAAAATTTCGTTAAGAATTTTATTATTTTCTATAAAATAAATAAAACTATAAAAAATTTTTAATATAAAACTCAATAAAAAAAATATATTTTTAGTTATTCATTAAAATAACGAATCAATAATTGAAATGAATAATTAGTGTCAAACTAAACAACATCATTTATAATATTACTATCCAGGTGTCACATTCTAATCAAAATACTTCTCCGCAATAGAAAATTTCAAGTTTTCTATTTATGTTGATACGTACAAGTTTTTTTTACATCGTAGTAGATCTTCTATAATGTTTCATTTCTCTTTAAATTTTTAAAATTAATAAGAGAAGCTAAAAAATAATGTTTTTTTTTTTTTAGTTTTATAATTTATTTAATAAATTCTTTTGAAACACTTATTTTTTTTTTTATTATTTGATTCATTATACTTAAATATTTGATAAAGAACACTATTGACGATATAATAGTATAATATTACTAATAGATTATGAAATTGGATATATGAAAAGGTCGAAAGAAAATAACATATGATGCAAAATTATTAGAACAAATGTCAGAGTCTATTTATCTTCAAAAGGAATAATACTATAAGAAAACTACATTTACCAGAAGATAGAAGATATTATTCTCTTTTCAATTGTATATAATATCTTTTTTATCACACGTATATAAATAAAATGTTGTAAAACATATTCAAAATGAGTTTACTTTTGTTTTCATATAATGTAAAAAAAAAAAATATCAACTTCTATATCTTTTTAGTAAATACGTATTGGAATAATAATTTTTCTGTTTTTTTTATCAACTAATAGAAGATTTTCTTCTCTTTCGAATTGTATATAACTTAATTTTGCTATAAATTATATATTCATAAAGAAAATGACATAAGAAGAAAAAAAAATATTCATACAACGAATTTGTAATATCTCTATATTGATTCATCAAAATAAATTGTTTAAAATAATTATGTTATAAATCGTTGTTTTTTTTTTAGAGTATTGTGCTTTATAAAAATAACTAAATGTCGTTTTATATGATTTATTTTGATGAATCAATATAAAAATTACAAATTCGTTGTGCGAACTTTATCTATGGATGTATAATAAAATTAAGTTATATACAGTTGGAAAGAACAGAAAATGATTATTCTAATACATATAGAAAAATCGATATTTTGTATACATTATATAAAAAAAAAATGTAGATTCTCTTTTCTGTTATGACATTTCCTTTATGTATGAATCTGTGATAAAAATAAATAATATACGATTTGAAAGCAAAAAGAAAGTTCTCTATCTCTCTTTTAGTACTTTTCTATCGAAGATAAATAAGATCTAAAATTTTTCTTATTATTTTTTCAGCATATTTTATGAATGGAGAAAAAAAAGAAGTTTTTTCATGCCTATTAAACGTACTAATCATCAAGTGTAGAAATGCTATTTCCGATATTTATGTTTAACGAAAGATATTCAATATTATTAACATTTTGATTTTGTCTACTTCTTTGCATTTTTTAATATGATGTATAAATTATTTTGATAAAGAATTATCATTGATAAGGTTATTAGAGCATCTATGAGTTAGTATATTTGTTTGTTTTTTTTTCTCTGATCATCTCACCTAATCGCCCATCATACTCAAAATGATTGTTAGAAAAAAATTTTGTTTATAAACCAATCTCTTTTTTTTTTTTTTTGACTACAAATACAAAAAAACAATGATTTTAATCATCATTGATAAGTGAGAGCTATTATTTATTAGTATATATACAAATAAGAATAATATAAGAAATACGTCAGTTATATTAAACAAAATCAAGATAAGAGAAATGTCACGAACGCATAAAATGAATCATCATTTTTACTTGTTAATATTTGTCGCCTTTTAATATAGTGTTAATTGAAGCAGGTCACGGTTTTTATATATTCATAGCCTTGATACGTAATAAATATCTTCTATTGCATACAAATATCGAATAGAGCAAGTAATAAAAATTTCAACTTGAAACTTCCAAAACTAGATATATTTTAATGTAAATATACTTATTGAACTTTTAATTTTACGAGATACTAATTTATTGAGAAGAGTCTTGTTTTACATTCGTCGAATTGTTCTTTCACAGAAAGGAATTTGTAATAGACTTTTACATTTTCAATTGATTATATTGAGTATGACAATATTGATTTTTACTTGAGATTTAAACATTATAATATTAATTTTTACAACTATTGTGTAAAGAAAATCTTAATATATAAAACAAAAAAGAAATCTATTCATTGATATAATTGATAGTCACAACTACAATAAATATAGATTGAATATATCACGATGTTGAGAGAGAAATCAAGAAGTCCTTCGATACACTGATATAACTACTGAATGCAAATCACAATCATAGTTACTAAGAGTATACATTATCGTGATTCAATCATTTCTGCGTATTCATTATTGACATGCATTGCTTTTTCATTGGTTTCTTTCGTTTCGGAATGTTGTTTAACATGATGATTTAAATCAAACTGGAACAAAGATAAATGTAACATAGTATATTTGTTTTCTTAGGTTTTCTTTGCCAAGGATATAAATAAATATCATGAGAAATAAATGTTATTTGAAAATTTTACATATATTTGTCGTATTTGTTTTAAAAGAATCTTTTTTGAAAAGAAAACGTACAAATATTAGACTAGGTGATATTTATGTTTATTTATAATTAGAAATAAAAAAAAAAATAAAAAATCTAACGATACGTCTTGATTTCATGATAATATTTTACTAAAGATAATAAAATTGATAAATGATTGTATGAATAATGAAGATGTATAATTGACAATAACTGAATATATTTTGATAGTTATTGAAGGACATTCATTACTTTACATATTTAGTTCAACAAAATTGAATACGTCGTCAACAGATAATGTTACAATTCAGATAATATATTATCTGTTAATTTTTACTTTTCTTGCTTATTGTAATAATGTTACTGGTAATTTTATAAATCAATTAATATTTAAGATCATAAAACATATTAAAATATCTTGTGTTCAATAACTCTATTTTAGGTTTAGTACTAATATCCTTTCAGATAAAATGCAATATTAATATAAAAAAAATTTTTTTTTTGAAAAATGTCTAATGAACTTGATCAATACTTTATTACAATTCAGATTATTTTGAAATTGGAGACACATAACGATTCACGAGGAACTTGCAACAAGATTTTGACTTAACACTGCATCATATCGAATATTTACAAGATGAATGAAAAGAAAATGTTAATGATAAACTAGTGTTGATCGTTCGATTTTCAAGCTGACAGATTATTACCAGTGATACGATGAGACTGAGTAAATTCATGATTATCTAAAGATAAGAAAAGTTACATCATGTTGAGTGCCTCATCAACTCAATGATGAACACAAAAGAAAATGAATTAGAATTTATCCTAAAAACTGGCGAAATTAATATTATTACAGGTAATAAAATAGGGATCTATTATAGATATGTTGGGCACACAAGTCAACTAATGCAACTGTTGTCAATGAAGTATGGAAACAATGAAAATCATTAGGTGCAAAAAGTAAAAAAATACTTCATGACTGTACTCTACCTCATACTTATTCACTTATTAATCAATTATTTAATACAAGAAGGTATCAATATAATGCCGTATCTATCGTTTTAAACAGACTCAATGTTGTGTGGTTTTTTGAGCTAAATGATTATATCGAGTATAATTTACCTGACCAAGCAAATGACCAATAATTAGATCATGCGATTTTCAAAATAACTAAAAATATTCCAGAAGAAAAATTTCAAAGAAAAACATTTGAATTTCCATAACATTGATAGTTTCTACAAGAGAAGATCTAGCAGATCATCGAGATATAGGAAGTAATAGAGTTAATGGATTGCGTGAGACCCTCTAACGAAAAGATGTCCTCAGAATGTGGATAAGTCGCGTATGAAGATTTTGTAATGCTCTAACAAAATTTAATTTCTTAAGTTTGTAGAAGTTTTGTTATTTTTTTATGTTTTCGTTCAGCTTTTGATGTTGTTTATAACTTGATGATGCATTTTTCCTCAAAGACAAATGTGTAGTACTTGTTGTATGCTCAGTCAAAACGATTCAATTGTTTTGTTAAGATTGATTCGTTGTTTCACTGATTTCATACAAGATATCATAAGATCATTACCTCAATTAACTTTCGTGTCTCCTTTAGAAGAGAGTTGAATACGGTTCAGGTAATTCATAAAAAGCATCATACGTTATTTTTATATAATATTGTCAGAGTTTTTGAAGAGCTCTAAGTATATAATCATTTTATCTATTACTAATTGAATCATTATTTTTGTTTGTGTTACATTTCGAACGTCAACAGATTGGATAACTGATTTTAACAAGTGTGATACAAGGGTTATGTAAATTTCGTATTCATTTTTTGTATAGCGAGAACAGTTGCTGTAAAATTTATTGTGTCAACTAGACCTACGACGGCTTCATAATAATTCTGATTTTGAGAACTGCTTAACACTTTTTCTTGAAAAGAACGTATTTATCTATTAAAAAAAAAACTTTGTTTTATTTATGAAAACATAATTTGTTCGAGCAGTTTATAGTCACAAGTCAATATTTTTGTCTGATATAAATGTTTTTATGAATCAGACAAAATTTCTTTTCATCACACAGTAGGACGATTACTGGGGCAATCTATTATTTTTCTACTGTAAATTACAACTGCATAAGCAACATTATACACCAAAGTGTACTTTTACATAGACAGGTCGTTTGTTATAATCGGGTATATTGTCAAAAACAATTTAGTTATACTTGTATTTAATGACGGATCCACGATTTTTCAGTATGTTGGATTTCAATCTTCAAAGCATGGGACCCAGATGATGAGTTTTTATCAAAAAAGATTTTTGCAATGGGAGTTTGCGAAAAAGATTAGCAGTTTCCTGAGCCTTTCAAAGTTTTTCTTTTGCTATTAGTAGTATTCTGTTTCTTAGATTTTTATAGTAAGCTATATCAAAGCTCATCGACAGGTTTCAAATTTTGATCTAAAAATATGCATCTGTTGAGGAGTTATAATGTTTTGAATTTTTTCAAAAATTTTAGCAGCATGAAGCGAAAATCCAAAACATTTTAGCTCTTGAACGGATGCATATTTTTAGATGAAATTTGAAATTTGTCGATGAGTTTTGATATAGCTTACTATTGAATTCTAAGAAACAGTATACTACTAATAGCAAAAGAAAAATCTTGAAAGGCTCAGGAAAATGCTAATTTCTTTCGCAAACTCCTATTGAAAAAAATCTTTTGATAAAAACTCATCATTTGGGTCCAGTATTATACCTCTATAAGTTTCATCTGGGTCTCATGTTCTGAAGGTGAAATCCAGCAACTAAAAAATCCTCGATCCACCACTACTTGTACTAAATAAAAGTCAATGGTTGAGTTAAAATGATATATGAGTGTCTGGATTTTAAAACAATTATTTTTTTTCATTCACAAAAAATTCTTGATTATATAAAATGAAAACTAATACATAACATGATAAAAAGAAATTATTTTTGTTTTCGTTGTGGACGTTTATTTGATGATGGATTAACAATGATTTTATTTGTTGAGAGTTCATCAGCCATTTCCAATTGCGTTAATTATTGCTCGCCGTCAAGACACTGTTACAAAAATAATGTATATTGGCAAAACTTTTCATTATTGTGAGGGTTAAGTGCCTTGTCCAAGTGATGCAAATTTTGAACGAATTACAAGATGTAACATGTTGTCCGTAATTTGATTCTTCAATTCTTGTATTTCCTATGGAAGAAAAAAGTTGTAAAAACCAAAATTGTATCTTTTCATAAAACAAAAACATTTTCTTACGGTAGTTTTTACTTGCAAATCATGTTTAAGATTAATTTGATTTTGACTTAATTGTTTTTTATGTATTTCCCTTTCGTATGCTTACACTCAATCGTCTATAAACGTTTTTCTAATTTCTGTTTCTTGATTTTTCTTTATTGAAATCTTCACAAAGTTGATTGATCTGTTTTTCCTTTTGTTGCTTCCCATGTGATGAAAACTGGGCAAAAACCGGCGGTTAACCACGGTTGACCGGTACGGTTACCGGCTCCTTGACATAGAAAAACCGCGGTAAACCGCTACTTTTTTTCCGGTTTACCTCTAAACCTGATCCGGTTTTTGTGACATGGGTTCTCTTTTGTTAAAATCTGCACAATTGATTTGAATTTTTTGTTTGAAGTTGTGAATCCTTCAGATTGTCCATTAACGTGCGTGTATTAATTTACTTTTTTCAGAAATCTCTGAAGATCTATTTATTTGCTTTACACGTTTTTCAGTAATTTCATGTATTGATTTTCCATAGCACTCTAAGTCATTCTTGGATGACTTTTTTTGGAAATCAAATCAATTTATCAATGAGTTATTAAATTAAATTAAATTTAAAGTTTAGAATAAAGTCTCATTCATGTTTTTTTCTTACTTCACATTCTGTTTGTTAAATCCAGCAGCTTATCCCTGACTGTTATCAGTATTTAATATGTGTGTGGTAAAATTTGGGCCTGTATTTTCAACAAGTTGAATATTATTGTTCTGCATCAGATCATTAATCTGAACGCATGTACTAAGTGACACATCATATACCTGTTTGTTTTTCCAGTTCAATGAAAAATGATGATCAGTTACAATAAAATGTCTAAAAAAACGCTCTTTATCTTAATAATATGACAAGATTAATTTATCCCGAAATATGTGATCGTTTTCTAGGTGATTGCACGCAACATACTCACAAGCCAAGCAAATACACAGATTCTACAGAAAGAAGAAATTTAAAAATATTCATGTTCTGTGATACACGAAAATATTCAGTTGGTGAACCGCGGTTAACTGACGGTTTGAGTGATATAGGGAGGATGGTTGTGGGTGAAGTGCAAGAATTAAGAGAATGAATACCCGCCAGCGCACCCACACCCAATAATGACCCTTGAAATATTTTGAAAATTTTCGACTAAAAAAGAATGTAACTTTGTCGAGATGTTAGAGTTCTAGGTGGACTCGATTTTTGAAATGTCGGTGGCGAATGACTATTCTTTTGTAAATTAAATATCTCGATAAATGAACATTCTTTTGAGTTGAAACTTGTAAAATGCTCTAAGAATCATTAGAACCGTCAATGGACAAAATTGCATAGAGAAATTCTGCCATTTTAATTTTCGATTAAGTACCTACAAATGGATCGAAAGCTCAGTTAAACAGTTATCAATCAGCTCAAGAGATCAATAGGCACGCACTATTAAAAGCCTTTTCTAGTCTTATCACGATTTTCTTGTGAGCTTAAACGGTGGGTATCAGTTCTGGTAGTTTCCTTTCCTTCTCAGATTCAAACTTCAAGTCCTTGTACCGCACAACAGATCATACTTACCAATTGTTTCTTAAACAACAGTGATCCATATGTTTCGTCCTTCAACTTAATCAAATTTACTTAATAATATTGAAACTAAGTCCATGATTAAGCTAATTGCTGTTGTAGCAAATCAGAGCATGACAGAAGGGACAAAATAGGCATTAATTTATTTCAAAGGGTATAGTTGCTTATATTTATTGTAGTTCTGGTAAAAATCATTTGAAAAATAGACGCATCAAGCTTAATTTTGATCTTTCACTCAAGTATAGTAAACAAAAATACATATGAAAGTCTGAAGTTGATTTTCAAAATACTTTAGTATTAGTATACGCTCATCACTTTGAACAAATTTGCTCTTCAGATTAGATTTTCGACGAACGGAAATTCACCATCATTAACATCTGTTTCCTTGATGAAAACACTTTGCTCGTCTTGCAACCTTTCGATATGTTGAAGTGGTAGGTTCCAATGTTGTTTGAAGTTTCTCATGAATAGTTATTTGTATCCATTCTCAGAATAGTTCAAATTTTAATATAGTATTAGTCGAATTCATGATCCCTTTTGCCAAATTTCTTTTTGTTGAACTTGGATATTATTTAGAAGAATATTAGAACTGAGCCCAAAATCAAGTATTTGCAGACAAGATATTTTAATATTTATTCATGCAACAGACTCTTACATGTTAGTTGATTTATAAAATTACTAGCAGTGTTATCAAAACTTTTGATTAAACCTAAGTAATGAGTTGATCATAAGATTATGTTTAAGAGTCTTGTTTAATCATGACATAATTCATTGAAAAAATAATCAAAACTTTCCAAAAAGAAATTGAACTAATTGACGTCTACATGTGTCATTATTACAAGGTTACAATTTGATGACAAATAGTTTTACGTGAAAACCATGATCAAACCACGCTCACACACCTTCGTTTTTTTTTCTTTTTTCGTCTTTATGTAGAAATGACGCCAGTACGATAATATATAATCAGGTATACGTAGACTAAAGCAAATAACGATACCGAAAAAGAACAAGCAATATAAATATCAATTTATTCAAGTAAAAGCCTTCTTCTCTTTGATTATCAATCAAACAAAACTTTTCTACAGTTTTAGAACTATGAAAAAGCAATTCATCCTAATTCTATTTTTTCTTATAACAATTTTTTATGAGCAATCAACAAGTTTACCAACGGTTTTGAATGATAAAACTGGAATTCGAAAACATTGTCCTTACTTAGTCAAGTGTATGAGTCCATGTCCTTATGGTTATATCATCGATGACTTGGGTTGTCAAACATGTGAATGTAATCCATGCCAATTAGGACTACCTTTAAATGAATATCCATGCGAAGAAGGACAAAGCACATGTTCAAATTCAAAAGGCATCTGTACTGTAACCGCTGAAGGTAATACTTATTGTTGTCCTACTGAAAAATCTGGCTCTTGTCCACCAAGTCCTGATCCATCGGTAGTTTTATGTTTGCCATCCAATTGTAACAATGATGCTGATTGTCCAGCTAGAGAAAAATGTTGTGATCCATGTTTTCGATGTCTTAATGTAACACGTTCCTAAAATAATTTTCTTCCGAATTTTTTCGTAAAAAATACTTTCAATAAATTATTTTAAACAAGACAAAAAATACATTTATTTTTCTCATCGCATCTACGTGTAACGTTGAAATTGAGTTTTATTTATAATAAAAAATTGTTCTATTGTTAAAGAAATATTATTTTTAATAAATTTTTCAAAATACGTCCTGTATCTTCGAAATTGTCAAAATATTGGTAATTAATCGTGAGTTGAAATGTGATACGTCATAGCTTTACATCGATGATTATCCTTTATGATATCAATACTGAAAAGTTTGTCTGAATAATTTATGATGATGCATATTTTTATTCAAAAATTAGCTGCTTTATTCTACATTAATAAAACTAATAAAATCAAACATACATACCACAAACAATTTCACATAGTTAAATGAGAACACAATCAAAAAATAAAAATATCCTTCATATGTTTCAATCGATGTTTTTGAATTAGTTTTTTCTATGAAACCACTCCACGCATATTCATTTTTTTTTATAATTTAAATATCTAAAACAGATAATTGAAGAGTTTTATTATCTCTAGTAAAGTCAAGTTTCATTTTCAATGCTAGAATTGCTTCAGTTGCCAAAATTACTTAAGTTCCATGAGTTAAGTTGCACTTTTGAGAACCCTATGAGTTCACATCTCACGGAATTTAGACACACCTCCACTTTATTGTAGGAATAATATTTGCCATGAATAGTTTCTCAATTAATCATGTATTTTAACTCAAATTATTTAAGAAAAAATATTTTATGAAAACTTCTTAAATGATAATTAGTACGTTTTTTGATTCACTATTATATATACATTACTAATACTAGACTCTTTTCAATAGTCTATTTTTCAGTGTGCGACATCTTTCAAATTCCAATACTAGTCAATTTCATGATTCGTCATTGATAGAAAATGGCATGTGATGTGTTCAAACTCATTTACAAAACAGTGTGCAGTGCATATATATATTTCGTATTGGTTTTTTTCATTGTGCATTATTAATAATAACATATGTCATCAAATACAGCTACAGGAACACTTGCGTCACAAGTAGCTTCTGATGAAGCAACTAATCTTCATAGAAACATAGCAGAAAAATGTCAAATTGTATTAGAAACATTATATGATTCATACAATGGTTATAAACAATGTGCTGATGATTGTAAAGATACAACAATGAAATTACTCTTTCAAACAATTGCTGCAAGTCGTGCTGAATTCATTGGTCAATTATCAAATGTTATTAAAGTTGATTTAGGTGTTGAACCGTACGTATTTTATCTTTTTGAATTTTATGTATATATATATTACATTTAATATTTCAGAATAAAATCAGGTTCAGCTATTGCAGCTGCTCATCGAACATGGATTGATGTTAAAGCATGGTTTACCGATGGTCGTGATAAATCAGTAATTGTTACTGAAGTTCATCGTGGTGAACAAATTTTAATTAAATTTTATGAAGCAGCTTTAGAAGATCCAAATATTCCACTAAAAATTCATGATCTTCTTGAAGAACAACTTAAAAAAGTCAAAGAACAAAACATCTCTGTTGATACTGTCTAAATTCTAATTTTAAAACAAGATAACTCTTATTATTCTATTAATCAATATTTAATCTTGCATGTTTATTTGTTGTTTCCATAAATGTCAAGTATAACGTCTTTTTCTTTGCTACTAAATTATTTTAGTCGAAAAAAGAAGTTATGAATATCAATTGTCATTTCTTCTATTAACCTTTATTTATTCATAAAACATAGTCGAAACAAATTATTTCTTTATTTTTTACTCCAAAAAATGTTGCCATCGTTTTTACAAATATAGTTTTTGTTCTTTGAATATTTCGATTAAGATATTTTATAGATTGTCAATTAATATATTTAGTAGTACTTTTATTTCTACGAATGAGTCATTGTATTATTTGAGAATATATTTTATTTATTTGATCAACAAAATAAAATTGTACAGTTCTTGTCTGTATATTTTATGCAAGCAGATATTGAATAATTGTAAAATGGGAAAAGTAAGTGTAGTTAAATATACAATAACATTTTATGGAACTCATTTTATGTTATTCGAAGAAAAATAGGGATTTGAAATTTGAATAGAACTTTTTTTGGCAAATCCCATCACATCATCATCAACGAACCAAAGAGCATTGAGTATTTTTTCATAGCGAAAGAGCAATAAAATGGTGTTCCATAAATTCTTGAACAAGAGAAAAAAAGCATTGAATAGCATTAGTAATAACAAGTTTCAGGCGGTTTTAAAACATTTCAGTCTTCGTTGAATTTGACTATGACTATATATAATAGATATCAGAGATGACGACTAGTGATGTATTGATTTGCCCAAGTTGACATATAATCAACATAAAAGCATGAACCAATTTCAAGATCTCACTTTCAACAATAATCAATATCAGTGTTTCTAAATTTATCTCAGTTGTTCAGTAAATCAGTGTTAAGTAGGATAATCATAATAAAATATGAAAAATGAATTTAAAAAAAAAATTCTTATCAAAGTCGGCACATCTATTTTGGCACAGTCTAAGTCTTGTTGTTAATGCCATTCAACGTCTTTTTCTGTTGCTAGGGATCTCTGAGACAAAGATCTGAAGCCTGTTGTTCATGGTTGCTATAGAAACTTAATAAATGATTGCTGTCTTCCTTCCTCCGCTTTGTTGCCAGAGAAAACATAGAGGAAAAGCTGAAAGAAACTTCATTGAAACTTACATTCATTATTTTCTTCAAAAATATATGCGAGTTCTAAAAATAGAAAATAAGTAACGAGTGCATAGTGACAAGAAAAATAAAAAAATTCTGATTGAAAAGTAAAATAAATAAAACATAGCGTTCTTGAAGTATCGATTATCTTGGGAAAGCAGCTATCGTCTGTCAGAGTTTAATGAAGTTCAAGTAGACGTTAAGTTCCATATTATAGGCACAAAAAAGATGCACTAATAAACTTTTCAATTTTATTTTTAGAGTCAAATTCATCATAGTACATGACATATACAAAAACTATATACTATAATTATAATGATTTTTCAATTAGTAACTATTTTAAAGAGACTAGAGAATCATTTTTTCTTTAGTAAATGAAACAATCTCTTTATTATTTGAAATGTTTTCATGTGTTGATTGTGCATCGTTCTTTTAATGATGAACCATAGTGAATAAGTTGTTCCGTTGAATAATCCACTAAATAGAGTTCATAACCAGATGTTAATATCATATCATAAAGAGTCGAATAGGTCATTGACATATTCCATGAAGCAAGTTCATTTCCATATATTCGATCATATACACGAATACCAAATCCTAACATAAGTACCCAAAGACGATCACCACAAGAATCAACAAATAAAGACATCGGTATTTCTGTACTATTATAATTTGAAACAAGCATTGACCAAGTAAATGTTCTAGTAGATAATTGATAAATTGTTGCTGTATCTCCACTAACATAAATCATTGTATCATCATTTGATTTTGCTAAACCATAAGGTTTATTAAATGGAATTGATATTGTTCGATTATATGTAAAATTGAATGGTGATGAATACCAATTAAGAAAAGCTAATGTTGAAGTTTGATTTTGTTGAATAATAACACACATTATTGAATTATTATAAAGCCATACAGCACGTTGAGGATCACCTTCTGGAAAAGGCATATCAAAAATACGTGATAAACTTGTGTTATAACTGTAAAGATAATATGATGAAGTTGAAATTGGAGGATTAATACCAATATAATAAACTCCTTCATGATAACTAATTGGTTGTGCATTAGTTTTTGTAAATAAATTTTTTTTACTAGTCACATTTATTGTTGCTTCTCTCTGTTGTATTGATCTTCGACTTCCATAAGTTACTATTAACATGTTAAGATCATAATCAAGTGCTAAACCAACTGGTTGTGTAATATTAATATTATGAAATGTATCTGATTGTTGAATTTTATTTATAAGCCATGATATATCTGAACAACATATTGATTTTAATTGATAAATAAAATTTGTTGTTAAAATATAAAGTGTAGAATTTGGTGATGATATTATATAAAATGTTGCATTTGAAGAATAAATATTTGAAATTAATTGACATGTTTTATTATTTAAAAAAATATTAAATGCTACAATTGATGGTTGTGTATATTGAAGAGCTTGACACATACATTGAGACCATGAAGATTGATTATTTAACCATATACTTACTGCTTCTATAGATATCAATTGTGCTTCAGATACGATACCATAAGGAGTACTGATTGTCAAAGTAGGAATTAGTGTTATCAATAAAAT